TATTTTCCATTTTCCACATCACAGGCTGCTCACCACACCCTTCACTCATTCGCCTGTCTTTGCCTCTGTTCCTCTATCTCACATTTATCAATTCTACAAGTTTCATTCAAATCTAATCAGCAGAAATATTGTGTGTGAAAGACAGAAAAATAAATGAGAAAACGGATGAATGGATGTGGGGACTGACATTTTCTGCACCATTTTGAATAAAAACCCTTCCAGACAAAATGCACACTTTGCTTGTCTTTTGTACAGACACAGTAATTGTGTACACATTCAGTAATTGTGTAATTCTCCACAGTGGGAATGGCAGTAGCTGAATCATATCAGGCCTGTAATTCCCATTAAGAACCCGCTGTTAAGAATCTCTGCTTTATTATTTGCTGAAAAGCTGTTCATTTCATTTCGTGAAGTACAATTCATTCACTCAAGATGGATAGAAAGTAGCCCTCTAGATGCATCTCTCTCCTACACTGATCCTCCTCACTGGCACCTCAGTGTCACCTCATATGAACCCATACTCGAGCTGTGGAGGACTCTCTTTATTAATGGGGAGGTTATAAATAAACAGGTAAACAGTGGCAGGCTCTTACCATCTTTCATCATAAGAAGAAAACAACCGTCACTATGGTTACAGATGGATGACATGCTTGCCCAGTTGTGGTGTTATTATTATGTGAGTTTTCTCTGCAAATTCACAACATCTCCAAAGCAATGAGCATATCCTATAGACTCAAATTTGAACTAATTGTTGTTTTGATTTGTTTTTTCTTGATAGATGCAATAGATACAGGTCGGGAAAGTTTAGGCATAAAGTGATATTCTCCCTTTTGAAAAAGGTTAACCTCACCACTCTTAGTGTAGGTGTATCTGAAGTAGGGTTGCAACTCATAATTACTTTCATTATCAATTAATCTGCCAATTATTTTCTCTATTATTATAGCCCATGGTAACATATTCAAATTACTTGTTTTCCCCAACTTACAGCCCAAACAATTTTCAATTCTCATAAAAGACCAGGAAAACCTGTAAATATTCTCATTTGAAAACCTGGAACCAGATAACGATAATAAGTGCTCACCAGTAGCTCACCTGGTAGAGCACATTCACCATGTATGAAGGCTGAGCCCTTACTGTATATCCCCCCCTCTCTCTCCCCCCTGCCTTTCCTGTCTCTCTGCACTTCCACTTCCAGTCCTCACCAAACCATTTTGGGAAAGCTCTCTAGTGGATAGAATCAGACGGGGCTCATGTTTGCCACAGTTTAGCTTGATTTGAAGTCAGCTGGTAACAAACAGTGAAGCAGTGTTTTTGAGCAGTTTAAGGTACATTTCTCATTGTGGTGACACCATCTGTAACTGATCACGTTGTCTGCTGATGTGAGCTTCTGCGTCTGTAGGAAGATCTGATACTGTATTTTACTTTCATCCAGACAGGAAGAAGCAGAAAGAAAAGGTTAAAAAAAGACAGGAAGAGAGCTATAGAGTGAGGGAAAGAGGAGAGGAAGCTGTTGGCAGATAGATACATACAGGATCTGATTCATTTTTGTGTTCTATCTATCTATCTATCT